AACAGTGATTATTTTGTCTTTCCCTTCCCCCGCTTCCCTCCCTGCGCGGGGCGGAGCCGCGGCCGGGCCCCGCCCCCGGGGAAGGGAGGGGTCGCGTCTCCCGCTGCCGGGGGCCACGTGCCAGTCGCCGGCTGCCGGATTAGCGCAGCGCGCACGGAGTGGGGGCCGCGCGGGAGCACTCCTGCTTGGCGGTGCTGCGCGGGACCTCCCTTCTCCCCTCCCTCTCCCTTCCTTCCCTTCTCCGCCCTTAGGTGCAGTGCCTCGCTGCTGTCACTGGGCAAGCTGCCAGCAACCAGGATGCTTGGTTTGGGGTGTGCTGGGCCCTTAAATTGAGCTAAGGGGGGCTGGGTTGGAGTAGCTAGTTCTTAGCTGGGCCCTCTGACCTGAAATAGGGGGCGCCTTTTTTGCAAAACATGCCGCAGCGGCTGAATACTACTGAGTGTCTGTAAGGCTGGCTGGACAGAATTGACATTGTAATGAGTAATGTGCAGCTATTTACTTTGTTACATGCACACATTCAGAACAAGTAGCTTCCCTGCCATTCCCTGGGTTGGTACAGATCTGTCTGTGCTGCCTGATGCAAACATGGTTTTTCATGAATTGCTGTCTTGGGGAGCCCTTAAACATGTACAGGATGACGGTAGAGGTTTTTGAATCTGAGGAACCTTTATTTATCTGTTAAAGTGGCAGATTTTTTTTTTTTTTTTTTGAAGAGGATATTCTCCATTAAAATTGAATAGTAAGAATTTTTGCAAGTTTCAGTCTCTTGGTAATTACAAGTTGGTGTCCTGTATTGGTAGCTATGTTCCAAGTATTAAACTCAGTTCATCCTATAAGATGATCCTATTTTAATGTTGAAGGCCTCATAGTCATCCTTTGTTTTTGAGGTGCTGATATGAACTAGGGATTTTGAATTTACCAGTGTGTGAAGAGACTTGGTTAGAAGGGAGCAGAGCTTCTAAGCCAAACACCACTGCAGGAGTGTCTCCCAATGCTATACTTAAATGCAGCCTGGCTGAGTTGCTTGCACAAGCTGGTTTGATTTCAGTTGGCTTTCTAGTTGTTTTGCATGTCTTGCATTACAGTAGCAGTTGCTGTACAGTCATACATTTGGGGTATTGATTTTTTTTAAAAAATTAATTACAAAATACTGTGAAGAGACTAAATTAAATGGAACGCTTCCACAGACTACCAAGCATGTTTATTGGACTACCTATTTGTTAGCAACTTGTGAGTAGAATTATAGTGTGAGACTTGATGGATTAAATATCATCTGTTTGGTGATAGTACAACAGCTACTTTATTGCAGTCTGTTGTGTGTGGTGTACATTCACTTTTGAGCCCAGAGACACATTACAAAGGAAACTTTAAATCATCACAAAGGGCTTTAAATCATCAGAGAGATGTGAAGTGGTATGAAATTTGGTTACTACTTCAGCCATTACTGTATATGTGTTTTGATAGACCTAGACCTTTACATTACTCCAAATGGCAGTCAAGCTTTCATAATTAACCCAGTTTTTCATGCCACCATATGATTGCATGATGCAACATGTTAATGTGTAAAGCAGCAATTTTCTTCTTTCCCTTAGTTTGCTGGTCTAGACTTGAATTCCTCAGACTCTCAGAGTGGAGGAGGCACAGCAAGCAGTAAGTATATGCAAGTTTTCCTTATGCCTGGATATAGGCGAGCACTTAGAAAACCATTTATATTGTACAGCTTTGAGAGGGACAGCCAACTCTTGGGATTTAATGTTTTTAAAACTGATGCCTTTAAATGTGGAAGTTGGGGCGGGGGGGAGGTGTAACTTAGTTGTGCAAGGGTGGGACTTCATCAAATGGTGGTAGTTTTTATAGGGCTCTCTTCTGTCCATAAGAGCGGGGAAGGGATTGTACTGAATCAAGCACTTACTTGACTTTTTAATGTGGCATTTGTGGTTCTTGTGATACATTCTTATGTTCTGTTTCACCACACAGACTTGGAAGGAGAGATTTGGCTAAGCAGGGGCTTATAAGGCATAATGTCTTGAAGGGAATTTTTCCTTGTTATAGAAATTAGCATTTTGGAATTCTTCAGAAGATTTCTACTTAGCATTGTTGAGGGAAAGTTACTTGAGTTGCAGTTCATACCCTCACTTAAATCTTATGTATAAAATTTCATGTAATGTTATAGATGGGGTGTTAATGAAGTATGAGACTGAGATATCGGTAGTGGGCCTCAACAGTCTGAAATTATCCTTCTGGTAGCTATCTCCAGGGAGGAGGAAGTTGCCAAATGTCAGATTCCTGCATTGCAATAACTGTAATTAAGGGAACTTGGGTATATTGTTCAAACTGGCATAGCTGGTACTCCTTTTCTTTGGAACAAGAAAGAAAAAATAGGTCTAAAATTAGTACTGCTCTAGAAATGGAAAATTCCTTGGAAGTTGAATTTCTTTCTGTTCCAGAGCTACTTCATGAGCCCTGCATAAGTGAGATTCTCTACAGCAGGGAAAAAAAGCATTGTTGTGCTTGCATGGCTCATGGGTTTGAGTCTTGACCCAACTTACAAGATGTTGCTATGTTCCCATTACAATTGGTAGACTCGTGCTTTACCAGGAAGTCCTGAAGAAGGATATGGATGACTGATTTGAAGTAGAACTAGAATATTAGTACTGGGAAGAGTGGCCATGCAAATGTGGTCTTTTTGTAAGAGTCTGTTTGTGCACATACAAATGCCTAGCACCCTGTCCCAGGCTGCATACATAGAACTTAACCTATTTTAGCCTCAATTTTATAAACTTCAAATAAGTGTATACCAGGATGGTGTATTGCACAAGTCCTTTCCCTTCCTAGAGCCAGCCTTGCTCTTACTTAAATTAAATATTGTCTTTATGAAGACTAATCTTAACAGATACCTTCACTAAATGGTTGTACTAGTTCTGATGAAACTTAACTAGTGTCTTTTGCTCTTTTTCTTTTAGAAGGTCGCTACATTCCTCCTCACTTGCGGAACAGAGAAGCTTCAAAACAGGGTATGTTTCATTAGTTTGGTAACTTTAGTTAACATGCAGCTGTTCTCGGTTACAGAGTAACATCTGTTATTCTGAAATATCTTGAATTAATACAAGATGTTTGTTTCTGGTTCACGGGACTTTAAATGGTGTGAGTTCTGTAACTTTCCTTCTGCTTCCATTGGCTGCATCACGCACTTAAACTCTAAACTTGACCTTGTTGTTTGGCTTACCAGTGCAGCTTAAACAAGGCAAGAGTCTTAACAGTACTGCCTGTAGTATCTTGTTTTCATCTGACTTCAGCTTCTGAGTTGTATGCCAGTGAACAGTTGATTATTTTTGAAGCAAGATGGGCTCTTAAAACAATGTTTCATTTTGATAATTGATGGTATTGATTTTCACTAGGGGTGTGTTTTCCTAAACATCCTAGTATTTGACTTGCAAGAGCTACTTCAGTTTTATTCCTACAGTTACTAAGCTTCTGAACAAGAAGTGTGCAGGTTGGGTCTGTTCGGTGGGGGGAAGGAAGGTGGTAGAAATAACTTGCTGGATAAAGTAATGAACAGAAGAAGCAAAGAACAGCTGAAGTGTCTTTTATACAGATAATTACACTAGAAAATGCTCTGCAGAACTCGAAAGGTTTTGAATGGGCAGGGTTTGATTGTTCCTTTTGTTTTGGGAGCAGTGTTGAGCTTCCTGCATTCATAGAAGAACATGTATTATTTAAGTTTCTCTCATAAGGGTGTGTAAGGGGCTGCTGCTCAGCATTTTTTAGCCTGTTCTGTAGATGGTTGACTAGGAGTGGAAGTGATGTCTGTCAGTTCAAGACACGGATGAATCCCTTCTGTTTTCATTTCCATCTGTTCCCTTCCAGTGACACTGGAAGAGGTAAGGCCTTCAATTCGATCCCTACTTAAGTGGTTGCTTTGCATGATAACGCATTGCATAAGTGGAGAAAATGACGACTATTCATCAGATAGGACAGTCCAGTCTTCAGAACTGGACAGCTGCAACTGCAGTATCCTAAATAGGTATTATTGAAATACCCATCAGCTGTATAATTTACTTCCTTAGCTAGTGGGCTTGGAAAGAGGTCTGACTAATGTGAGACTTGCATAGTGAGTGTTTGTCCAACAAAAGTAAGCTGAGGTTGCAGAAAGCACTAATGTGTATTAAGTAACTCGGCATATTTAAAATTTTACAAGATCCTCACTTAAACAGGACAGCATCTTTTTTTTTAAGCCAGTCAGAAGTCAAGTTTAAGACTGTTTAGTGACCCACTCAACTTGGCAACCAAACTTTAGAGAACATGGTGAATTTTCTTCTTACTTCCCCCCTTACATTTGTGTATTGATTTTTACTTGAATGTGTCTAGTTGGAAATGTATTCTAAGCAATTGGGACACTGGCTGTCAAATCATTTTGGGGGGGATTGCTGAAATGGATGCTATTTTGACTCTATCCTAATTGGTTCCAGAAGTGCTAGGTTTGAAGTGCAGCCAGAACCAGCATACTTTTTTTTCAAGTCCTTGAAAATTTAGGATTAAAACTCTCACAAGAAGCAGATGCATTCCATTCTTCTGTAGCATTTTCTTAACGTGTATTTAAAAAGGACCTTTTTCTCTTGTGACCATGGCCTAAAGCCATATTTTATGCAGGCTAACTTATTTTTATGTTGTATGTGCTAGGAAATGTAGTGTCTTGCAGCTGCGTCCCTGGGGAGAAAAGGGTTTTAATCTCCTCAAGTATAAATGTGAGGAGTCTTGCATGTAGGTAACGAGAGGGCAGGCCAGGTCCAAGAAGGCAGATCTAACATTTACCGACTTTTTTTTCACATACAGGAAGCTGGAGCCCAGGGGCCTCTGGCTTCTGTTCATCTGCTGCTGACACTTCACCTTCCATGCAAGGTAACTTATACTGAATACCACTGTCGCTGCTTGTGGCAGTTGGATACCATGACTTGTGGGCTCAAGGAAAAACCTACAACTGACAGGGTACAAGCATGCCACTGTTCCACTTTATGGAAGGCTGAAGCGCAGCAGTTGACTTCACACTTCTAACAAGTCATACAGTTTTCATGTCTGTCTTGGAAGGCAGGCAGCTTTTGTTTAGAAAAGATGCATGTTGTACTTAAGATGCAAGGGCATAGGATTGGATAGAAAACTAGTTTCCAATATGGGCACATTAAGTGTTTTCAAAGAGACCATCTTACTTCAAAGTCAGTAAACAGTTGCTTTAACTGAAGGTAATTTGAGCAGAGGAGTCAGCTAATTCTGAACTTGAAGTGAATCAAAGCATGGTAGCCCAAGATGACTCTAAAATGGGAAGCATGGGAAACACTTTTTGGGACTTACTTCATGTAGTGTTTAACTTGTAATAAATTAATTTCTTGATTTGTTTGTAGCTGTGATGGTCCAGGGGTATGAGGTAGATGAGATTCCTGAAGAGAGAGAACTTGAGTTAATTTCTTTTTGGCAGGTGTCAGACAAGCTTCTTGAGGTATCAAGCACCCTTTATTAGGTTGGGGAAAGCAGCTTAGTTCCAAGGCAAATACAGATTAGGACACCTGCTTTTAATTTAATCCAATTGGGTTAATGTATTTGATCATTCATTAACCTAACTGGGTTAAACCTAAAGCACAGGTGTCCTAACTTGTACCTGCCTTGGAACTATGACTGATTAAAGGGTGTTTGCCTGATGAAAGGAGAGAGTTTGTCTTGACACCCCTTCCAGATAAACAAAAGTATTCTCTTGTCACTTAATCTTGCTTGTCTCCTTCTGATAAGGATGGGAAGCCAAAAGACCTTAACCAATGGCATTTATTTCCTTTGTAGAAATTGTTTTTCATACTTTGGATATAGGTGGACCAGACGCACACAATCTTCCTTACCTCAAACACTTCAGTCACTAAGTTAAACTATGCTTCCTGCTGAAAGAAGCTGTAGTGTATTCCTAGCATCATATTTGTTAAGGCTTTTTTCTTTAAACTTTTTGGCTTTGACTCTGATATGTCGCTGGAGTTTTTATGGCTCTACAACAGGGAATACTTCTACCTACATGAAAACTGTTATTCCAGTTCAGTACAGTGACTTTTAAACAGTTTTATAGTTTGATGTATAATCTATATCAATGATGTCACTAACAGTGTTTAGATATGCTTTGTTTACACTTTTAACTTCCTGGCTGGCTTCATTGGCATTGTTCTGGAGGGTGTACTATCTATTGTGTGGCTTAAGATTCCATTATTAAGGATAGTCTAAGTGGAGTTTCACATGTAATAGTTTTTGACAGGCATGTGTTAATAACTTGTTGGTACCCAAGTGTGCCTCAGTCTTTCTGACGAGCACAGTTCATGGCCTGGTATTGCTGCTTGGTATAAAGGTAAGACTCCTAAATCATTTGTGTGAATGAATTGGTTTGGTTTTGTTTTTTTCCAGAACATTAGGGCTGCCTTGTTCAAAAATCATACTATTGTGGATTTTCTCTGTACAGTAGTTCTTTTATTAAGGAAAATGTCAGCTAGGCAACTAATCTGTAGCGTTTAGGGCTTTATTAATAGCAGTTTTTTAAACTAAAGGAACTCGAGCTTTTGTCATGTATATCACATAATTACCTTCAGCAGTGGCTTCCTGTAGAGTTGGCTGGTGGTAGGCAGAGTGGTCTAGTTTTGGGGTTTCGTATAGCTGACTAAACTTGGTATCCCATGAGCTGTGCTACATAGCGATGGGACTAGTTTGGATTAGCTTAGAATAAGTAAAGCATTTATATGAAATTTAAGGTGAATTTTAAGGACCCCTGTATAAGTCTCTTGCATATCTAGCTATAAACTTTCATAGTGAGGGGCAGAGTGCTTAAGGAAGAACCTAATCCTTGGATGTCTGTGCAGTTTACAAAGACATTCTGAACTCAAAGATGGAGTTAGGTCAGCACTTCAGCTGTTAAAATAGGGTTCTTATTTTCTAAAATTGTACTTACCTAGGAGCAAGTCTGTAGCTTAAATACTGCACACTACCTACTAGAGATGAGAAAATGAGAGTTATTTATAGTAGTAATTTAGTTTAATTTGTCCCATGTTTATACTAATCTATTTCTTCTAAAAGTATGAAGGCAATTGACCTGGTGCTTTTTAGGTCAATATAGCCGGCTACTTGATCATTCCAGCTTTTTGCTTTCTACTTTGTAGACTTCAATTTGCCTAATATTAAAAACTAATACAGTGTGGTACTCTACAGATGATTTCCTGAAGCTTCTCTGCTTTTCATCCTTTAAAATGTCAAACAATTAAAGTAGCCAAATTATTGGGCCAAAAACTAATAGTCTTTGGGCAAATACTTTGTTTAATGTTAAAACAAAGTGGTTGATGGTATGTATATCAGTACTAAGTGTGTGTAAGTAAAAAAAAAAAAAAAAAATCGTGACTAGCTGGATGTCAGTCTGCAAAAATTGTTTGGTCAGGTAACTCCTCATATAGAAACTTTTTTTTTCCCCTTTGAAGTAAAATTTAAAAATTGTAATTCTTTTGCATTAAGGTTTGAACTGCACTAAGATATTTCAGTGTGACTTCAGGTTTAAATATCAATGCAGTCATGAATTGTATTTGATCAAGCAAAGGCAGGTGTATGTAGCCATAACTTGGCTGTGTGCATGAGTACAGATGATACTAGATTTAGAAGAAAACGATGATAATGAGGAAAAAAAGTTCCTCTATCATCTCCCTGCTTAATCATCTAATTCTTTTTTGTAGTAGCATGGTTTATACTGTCCTGGTTGCTGCCAGTTATAAAAGTTCAACTGCTGCTGTTTTGTTACACCAGTCCACCAGTAGCTCCTGTTTAAGAATTCGGACTGCTATAACCTAACCTACAGGCAGTCTTTGGATGTTTGTCTGGAGTGCTTGCATACTTAGTGTGGCTTTGTTTAGACCAAGTGTGATGCGGTGGCTTTAACTGCTGCTACTTGTGCAGTTGCTTTAAAACAGGCTGACTGTTTTTTGGCAGTGTGTCAAAAAGACCCACACCCTCAACTTGTAAGATGTTGGGGGCAGGCAGCAAGGGGAGCTGCAAGGGGCCTGATCCTTGTTGTGGCAGCCCAGCCCCTTACTCGCTGTCTGTGCTGTGAGGCACATGTGCCAAGAAAAATGCCTTTTCACTCCACTTTCTGGCACCTGTGCTGGGGGTGCCTACCCCTGCTTTTGAACTTAAACCTGTCTGCTTTGTCTGATTCATCAGTTGCTCCCTGTATGGCATCTGTCATGTCAATCTTCACACTTCATTGATTCTTTCTACTTTAGGAAAGGGAATCTTAACAGCATACTAACTAATGCCATCCCAGTTTTGCAATAGTTACCTTGTTTTGGATGCAGGCATTAATAACTTCCGTTCTTTATAAAAATCAATCTTTATTCTAAATTCTTTGCCAGTACTACCTTGCTATTATGAGTTGGCTATCACCTGAGGCTCTGGCCTAGGCAGAGGATAACATAGTCTAAAGTTTTTATTTTCTTCTCACTTGAAGACCAAAGTCCAGCCCTTCCTGACTTTTTTTTTTTTTTTTTTTTTAAATCTATTTAGCTTGGCTTGCTTAACTTTTTTTAATTCACGTGTTATCTTTTCTGCTCCCTTTCACTCTTAAACCCCCGTCCCCCCCCCCCCCCCCAAAAAAAAAAAAAAAAGCTTCACCAAAGTATTGTTGGAGTTGTTTCATGACTATCCTTGTTCTTGTAGCAGGCTTCAGTGACTTTAAGCATGGCAATGAGCCTAGTGCACAGGCTACTCTTACTGTCTGCTTGGGTTTACTAACTTCACCCTGCTAATAAAAGTAGTTTTCAAAGGAGTCTTTGACGGATTGGAGTCTAGCAGAATTTGGCTTCTGCGGAACTTAGGATTTCTTTTCCTTTCCTTCCGAAGAGGTAATGGTGAAGAATTTTTCAGCCTGAAGCGATTTATTATCCTCGCAAAGAATCCTGCCTAGTTTGTGCTATTTAGCCCTGGCTAATTAAAGGTCCCTAAAAAGGGCGCCTCTGTCTTTCTTTCTCTTTTTTTCTCTTTTTCTCTCTCAGGATTCTCTCTTGCCTCAGCTGCTTTCCACCTGGCAGTGAAAGTCATACCGGCTCTGGTTTGCTGCTATAGAGCTTGCAAAAACTACTCAAGTATGAGCATTTTCCCTTTAATTGTCTCATTTTTATTCTCTGCCAAAGATTCCCCCAGCTGGGACTCTGGTCGTGGAGGTAATGGCTATATGAATGGCTATGCCCGAGACAGCCGGATGAATGGCTATGACCGTGATCGCTGTGGGTTTGGATCTAGAGGAGGATCTGGACGTGATGACAGAGGTGGGCGTGGGGGGCATTCAAAAATAGAGGGGGAGAAAAAACCTGTCATCTTTCAGCCAACAGCACCCTTTCATACTTGGTGTGGAGACTGTTCTGCTGGAATACATAAATTAATCACCTGCCTCCCAAAAATTTCACTTGGTGTTTAATGCCAACAGATATGCTGAGAATTCGGCATGAAAGCTGGTAGCTTCTAAAGTTGAACTCGTACTTTTTTTTTAGAGCGGTGCCAGATGCACTGCTTACTTTTATCCTAGTAATTAAAAGATAAGGTGTGGGTGGTGGGGTGGCTTGTTTGTGTGTGTCTTTTGTATCCAGCTATATTTCATGAGGCCTACAGGCCTTTTGAATGAGATTGGGGCTCCCTTTTTGCAAGCTGCTGATGTAAGAAGGTGCCCACCTTGAAGAGTTTACTATCTAGCTGAGAAGGAATGTGCGAGTATCTCTGCTGCGGATCCTGATCTGAAATTGGTGCCCTGGTTCAGGTCACAAAGGAAATCCAGGATGGATTAGGGAGTTGAAATGCATCTTGGTCTTAATCCAGTTCTTTAACCACAAGACCAGTCTTGTTTTTAAGTTTTCTTGAAAATTTTCCAAACTAACTTGCAGTGTACATGAAGATGCTCTATACAACAACCTACTCATTCTCACCTGGTAGGTGTACAGTGGTTTCCAGTACATGCAGCATTTTGTTCAATATCTTATTAAGTTATTGGCCTACATTTTAGTGTGGTCACTTCATCCCCATTTTTTTTGGCAGTCTCTTAACTTAGGCTTTCTGAACAGGATACAAATAACATTATTAGAAATAGTCTTAAAGTCTTTTCAAACTTAAGGAAAGACTGAGTGAAATTTGTTTTTCTTCTGATTTCATATGTACCTTTTACATATAACAACCACCCCCTACCAGGTTAAGGTTTTCTGACAACTGGCCTGGACTTGCAGTGATTCTGTATTTGCAACATGAAAGCTATATGTGGTCCCAGATTTGAAGGGGAAAAAATTGAGGGGTGGTTTTCTGCCCTCCTCCCTCCCCCATAACAGGAGTTAGCTTCTCTTTCTATCTGTTTTCAGTGAGTAAAGTCTAGGGAAACAGGCTTCAATTTACATCCACTACATGGCCTGAGGTGGTTAAGATGCTTTTTAGCAGAGGCAAGGGGCGCTGTTCCAAAACACTTGTCATGTTTGGAACTCGTTGTGCAGAGGCATTTTGGCACTTCAGTTTCAAACTTCATATATAACTGTGCCTAATAGTTCCCAAAGGTTACTCTGTGGGGTGAGAGTGCATTCTTCCATTCAGCAGCCTACAAGTTTTGGGAGCTCAAAATTCTGCAAAGAAGGAAAATGCATCTTGGTGTTTGTACTTCAGGGTGGGTTATGGAGCAAACTTGTGTTTGATTTGTAATTTCTTTGCAAACCAAGAGCAAGTAATGTGGTATTTGTGGAGTCAGATTCATAGCTTCTCACCAAAGCCTAATACAGGGGTGGGCAGAATGTGGCCCATGGGCTGGATGCAGACCATCAGGCCATTCTATCCAGCCCATGGGGTCCCTAAAAAAAATTCAGAAAATTTAATATTCATCTGCCCCTGACTGCCTGCCATGCAGCCCTGGTTGGGAAACTGAAGTGAAGTTTCTGTGGACCTTACTTTCCAAAAGCAGGAGCGAGCCATGATTTATTAGTCAAATAACAAGCTTGTTTTAAATGAGACTCCACCAAGACCACTTCAAAACTGATGCGCACACAAACCATATTCTGGTGAGTTCTTGTTTCATGCACGTGAAAACCAGTAAGAATCTTGATTCTGTTTTAGAGTTCAACTTGTTTAAAAAACCTTTTTATGACCTACTTTTAATTCTGCAGCAAGCAAATTCAAATACATAGTTTCACATATACAACTTTGTCTTGTATCTAAAATGTGTCAAGGGTTGTTAAATACCCTTGTGGTAAGGGGTGCATTCTTGAAGCTCTTTTGAAAGGCTTCTCGCCTCCCAACCATATGGTGAGGATTCAACTGAATGTCCCTTGCTTGGTGGTTAAACCCTTATGGGTTTTTTTTGTAGGGCTCTGTAAGTGCTGCTATTCAGGAGTAACAGTTTTCATTTTATTTGTTCAGGGTATGACAGTGGGTGGAGTTCCAGTAGAGACAAGGATGCATACAGCAGCTTTGGTGGTCGAAGTGATCGTGGAGCAAAATCAAGCTTCTTTGACCGTGGAAGTGAGTCAAGGGGAGGAAGGTAAGCAGTTTTATTGATCAGTGCAGTAAAAGCTACCTCCTTTAGCAATGCCTGTATTGAACTAGAGCTCAGTTTTGACATTTTAGCAAGCAGGGCTTGTATAGTTAGCTTTGGGAGTGAGGTGGTAGAATGAGAAGCATGGTAGAAAAATACATTTGGTGTGGGAAGCATGCCTGTGTAAACAACTTCAGCAAAATTCCTTTAGCTTGTTGACATTGCAGGTGGTGATTTTTAAATCTCACATGGTGTTAGACATGGCTGTTTTCTATTACAAACAAGCTACTTAAGACTAGCTGTTGGGAGCAAATGCTTGGTTTCAAAGCGAAGTTGAACATAAAATTAATTTAATAAAACAATTGGGTAAGATTCTTGCAGGTTCTCTGCCTAACTTGATCAGTTTTAAACACCTTTATTCCTTGTATGCACAAATGTGGCGAGTGACCTTTTTCGACAAATAAAGCTGGCGTTAGTCCTGTATCCTGATTTTTCTCAAATGTGGGTTGCCAGATCTATAACTAAACGCAATCCAGGTAAGGACTGTTTTTCCACACCTTTTTATTCCAAGTCTGTTATACAGGTAAGATTCCCTCTTTGTGAAAAGCATAACAAAGAGAAGTGTATTGAAGCTCGACAATTCCATTTGTATGAGCACTTGAGTAAAATATAGGAGCAAGCTGAACTTGAACATTAATCTGTACACGGAAGGCATTCAGATGGCATGAAAGCTGCATGATTTTCTTTAATTGCCCCCCCCCCTTTACAAAACTCTCACCTTCCTAGAATAGGCATTCATTCTTTTATAATTCTGAAATTCCAACCTCTCATAAAAAGGAGCAGAAAAACAGACTAAACTTTGAATTGCCATTCTCAAGGCAAAATATGTTTTTCAACTTTATTAGTGGACTTGGTATCTAAAAATGTACAATAGTCTCTCAACTAACACAGTAGTGAGAATACTGAGCTGCTAAGTATATTTTTCTTCTGCGCTCGCCTAAACTCAGCCACTTTTGTGTTTTGATACACCTTTTATAATAAAGGCCCAAGGAGTAGGGAGATCCTTTCTCTTTTTTTTTTTTTAAATTGGTATGACTACATGTTAGGGCTATGTGTTGCATGTCAGACAGATAAGCCATGTTTTGTGGAGCATGGCTGCTAAGTATTCTTGCTTTTGTCTAGATATGAGGACCGTGGAAGAGGTGGTGACTATGATAGGAGTGGTTTTGGTGGCAGATCTGACCGTGGATTTGGAGGTGGGTCACGCTGGTCTGATAAATCTGATGAAGATGACTGGTCAAAACCACTTGCACCAAGTGAACGTCTAGAACAGTGAGTATTTGGGTTCCTTTAAAAGCTGTCACTCTCTGCCAGTTGGATGACATGGGTATTGTATGACACTTACTTTCTGCTATTCTAGAGAACTCTTCTCCGGAGGCAATACTGGTATTAACTTTGAGAAATATGATGACATTCCTGTTGAAGCAACAGGCAACAACTGTCCTCCACATATTGAGAGTGTAAGCTTTTTTTTAAAGAGTCTACTACTTCATCTGTTTCCTCAGTGTTACATGAATGCACTCTTTTTCAGGTGGAACTCCAATGAATTGGTGTCTCAAGACATTAGTAACCATTACTATATCCAGCTTTTTGGTGCATAAAGAATACAATGCTTCAGTAGAGTGGAGAGCTCTAGTCCAATGATACGTTGGTGAGGTAGAGCAGAGAATCCCTGGGCACTGCCCAAGCAAGTCAAGGGTACTAGAAGGGAGTTAAGGGCATGGGTTTTCAGCAGGCTTGAGGCTCCCTGCAGTGACTCTAAGAGTAAGGGGAGGGCTGAGTGGTGGTGGTGGTGGCGGCGGCACAGTATCTTGGACAGTAGCCAGGTATTCCCTGCTGCACCAAATACTGGTGTTCAAATAACTCATCTGTACAAGATGATGGCAAATAAAAAAGGTCACAAAGAAGATATTAATCCACCAGTGGGAGAGAGAACAGTCTACCTCTTTTTCCTTTTCTTTTTTTTTTTCCCTTTTCCTTTCTGCCAAATACTTCTGTGACCTAGTACAGATTTAACAGCATCTTTACTGTTTTGGGTTGTGTGTGGTTTTTTTTGTTTAACAATATCTTTCCGTCTATTTTTCCCCATGCTCCAACTTTTCCCATCCCTCTTCTTCCCCTGCACCCCCCCCCCTTATTTGGGGGAGAAGTCTATTTCAATATCCTTTCCCGTATGTACTATTTCCCTTAATTACTGGGTATTCCTTATTCTGTTTTTGTTTCTATTTCCTTTCCTTTTTAAGGGTCTGAGGTCCCTCAGCTGGGATGAGACTGCCAGTCTCTTTGCTTTTTTTGGGCACGTCCAGACAAGTGCACACATGCAATTCCCTCGGGACAAATAGCAGTAGTACAATTGCACCACTGCTAATTGTCCCCTGGGAAGGCTCCTGCATGTGCACTCTGGTGCAGGGCAAACTGCCTCAGGTGAGGTAGGGGATGCTGGGCCCCAGGGTGCTGGGATTTCCCAGTATCTAATTTTGATTCCATGCTGCAAACGTACTCATCTGGATGCATCCTTTATGGTCAAATTTAACACCTTGGCTTACAGCAAGCAAGCAGCTTATAGCAAACAACTTTGCTTGGAATTATCACACTGTAGCCATCTTTTAAATCTTCAGTATTGCTAACCAAGAAAAAGCTAACTGTTCTGGCATTAAACCTGGCTTCTTACATAAAGCGAGCATATCTGAATTCCCAAACAGAACGGATCAGGCATTCTTGCAAGTTACTCATTGCAACCTTTTTCATAATCTTACAGTTCAGTGATGTTGACATGGGAGAGATCATCATGGGAAACATTGAGCTTACTCGATACACCCGTCCCACTCCAGTCCAGAAACATGCTATACCTATTATCAAAGAAAAGAGAGATTTGATGGCATGTGCCCAGACAGGTATGTTTGTAACTAGGTTTTCAGTTCCCGTTGGGAAGCAGGTGGGGAAATGATAAATCTTCAAGTGACAAATAAGTAATAGTTTCCTTTTTAGCAATATTTTTATGACTTGTATGAATATGTAGTTCTCTAGAAAGTGGGCTTTTTTTGTTTTGGTTTTTTTTTTTTGTATTGGAAGCTCCAGATTAGTAGCTTCTGAGTATAAGACTAGTACACAGAGCAAGATTGTGGATTGAGTAACCAAGTCTCTTCTTGAGGGGCAGTTGTGATGGCCTTCTGTTAATACTACACTTTTTTGTATACTAAATCTGAATTACACTGTAGCTTTCAACTAAAGAAATTGTCAGGTTCTGGGCTAGGAATTACTCAGGCCTTAGTGTTTTGTTTTGTTTTTTTTGCGCTAGCAGGATCAGTATTACTGGGATGTGGGTGAAATAAGAATAGTGCATTTCTTGTTAATAAAAAAAAAATTGCTTTTGGTTTGATAGCAAAGCTTCTGTGGAATACTATAGATATGGTATTGCAGATGACCAGTGTACTAGTAGTGTTGACTTTGGACCTGTTCTCAAGGATAACTTAATGTTTTACCTTAATAGGGTCTGGGAAAACAGCTGCATTTCTTCTGCCAATATTGAGTCAGATCTATACAGATGGCCCAGGTGATGCTCTGAGGGCTATGAAGGTAAATATGTAGTTTTAGAACTTGAATTGCAAGCGCAGCACATTAAAAATACTGTTCCTGCCTGCTGTTCTTTGATGCTTATAATTTAATATTTTAATCTAAAGCAATCATCACTTTGAAACTGTTAGCCTGCATCAGTACTTTAATCCCATTAGTAAATAGTTTAATGGGCAGACTAGTAGTTGATCTGAGGGCCCTGCTACACACATTCAGATTTATAGCTGGTTTCTATCCAGCTTTGCGTTTACACGTTTTTCAAGCACTAATTTTATAGCTAGTTAGCTCTTTCTACAGCTCTAATCACTTCTGATGATGTGATAATTTGCATGTGTAGCTGGCATGATTAACCAGTTAATTGCAAAATATTTCTAACGTGTGACGGCCCTGATTTTAAACATTGCACTTGCTCCGTAGTACTGTTCCATTCTCAGTAACTGTCAGGATCTGGTAGCAAAAATTCTAAAACAAACTACTTGAAATCCAAATTTTAAATTTAACTGATGTGGCTTTTGGTTAGTAACCCCATAGGATGTCTGTCTCTTCCCCCCCCCCCCC